GGTTAAATACAACCCAGTGCTGGGTAAAATAGGGACAAACCCAGCAATTGGGCTGTTTTGACCCAGCGGTTGGGTTAAATGTTTAACCCAAACTTCTGGGTAGTAACCCAACCGCTGGGTCAAAACAACCCAATTGCTGGGTTTGTCCCTGTTTTACCCAGCACTGGGTTGTATTTAACCCAGCATTTTTAAGAGTGTATGTATTGAGACGCATATCTGAGATTGTAATAAGTTTGAACACTGCTTTCATATGACAGTTTGGTATTAATTAGCATTCGAATGCTATTCAAATAACAAATATATTAAATACATTCTGCTTTATGCTAATACAGAACAGTATTTTACAGCTGTGCACAACCTTAGAATTAGAATGTTATTTTAATTTGACTTTGTTGTCTTATTGTTCCTTGTTAATGTCTGATTAGTAATTTCAATTCAATTCAAGTTTATTTGTATAGCGCTTTTCACGATACAAATCATTGCAAAGCAGCTTTACAGAAAATGAATGTTTCTACATTATATTTATTAGTAGCTGTGGTCAAGTTGATGTCCATATGGCAGAAATGTACAGTAAAAAGCATGCAGCATGTAATCAAACAAGTAATGCATGATAAAATACAAAACAGGCCTGGAACCAACTTCTCTCTGCTCTTCCCCAGATGATGAAGTGGATCATAGTGTGCCAGAGAGTGATGGAGCACCTCCAGGAGCAGGAACCCCTTCGGCGAAGGGCAAGGGCAAGTTCCCCAGCCTGGGCAAGATCTTCAAACCCTGGAAGTGGAGGAAGAAGAAAAGCAGTGACAAGTTCAAGGAAACATCAGAAGGTCTGTCGATTACTGACTCTCAAACTACACTAATCGAAGACAGTCATATTATAAATACAGTTATACTATAATGCTGATTCTGTTGAAAACTGAATTCTGATGTGAACATTTTTTGGTAAGTTACAGTAATAAGTTTTGGTGTGTTATTAATGAAACTAGGATTTAGGATTCTCTTAAACTCATTGTCTTTCAAAAGCAGTGGCTTAAGTGATTGTGTGTCTGAATGATCAGTGTTGGAGAGGAAGATTTCGATGAGGAAACCCAGAGAGGAGCTGATAGAGCGAGGGTTACTGAAGGACGTCCCAGAGAATGGTACGGCAACCTAGCATGGTCATGTGTCTCGTTGTTTTGAACTTAATTGCTCAAAATCTAATTGCTTGAAAGGTTTTGTGAGATTCATTCCGTCATAAACAGAGCATATTTGTATGTATCATGCACTGAATTGTCTGTAGGATCATAGAGTTTTTGCATTGTGACAATATTTTAATGACACGATGCATAAAAATATGCTCTGGATTAGGGCTGAACGATTTTGGAAAATAATCTAATTGCGATTTGTTTTTTTACCAATATTGCTATTGCGATTTTAATATGCAATTATTTTTTAAAGCTCTTTATGTTCTGTATTATTCAACAAAGACAAGCTATAAATCATTGTATAGTATGACCAACACAATATTAGATAGATTAAACAAATGTTATTTTCTGTAGGCAAGGCCTATATGTTACGATGAAATTAGGTGATGCATGAATTGATATGAATGTCATTTTTATTTAACAACTACAATCACAGTATATTGACTGATTTGTTGAACTTCCAACCTTGTAAGCATGTAATAATTATGACAACATAAAGCACTGACAAATAAGCCTGGTGTAAACATTAATATAAAAGTCAGTAACAAATCACACAGACTAAAGTAGATTGCAGAAATATAAAAAACAAATCTGTTGCTTTACCACACTACTTTAGGTAATTCACAGTCCCTGTAATAAACATATGTAAACATGTGGACTGCACTTTTTAAACACTGTTAACTTTAGACAGACTTAAAATAAATAAATAAGAATATATTACCTTATTATATACAGTATATATTATCTTAAGGTCGAAGTCTTCAGTAATGAAATGCACCGTAACACTGTTACTGCTTGAGTAATTTCAGGGCTCCAGACTCATTCTTCCCACTGGTCGCTCTTTTGCAACTAACTTTCTCAGTTGGTCGCATGAGCACGTGATTTGGTCGCAATTGTTTTTTTTTTGCTACAACATGGGATTAATCAATGCATGCTGATGAACTTTTATCATAGTTTATAGTTATATGGAAACGAAAGAGGTTAACATTCAACCCGTTCTTTTTCATCAGTAGTATTTTTAAGACTAAGTACTTTTTAAGACTAAAACAAAAGATGGATTCATTGTTATTCTTAATTAAAAAGCACAACAACAATAAAACAGAAAGATACAATGACAAACAAGCTTAAATGAATAAGATGAGGCATAGCATACACCACATGCTGTATTATATACAGAATAATAAATTACAGAACGTTTAGCAAACACTGAGGAATCAAATAGATAAAAGAGAACCTCCATAGCATATCATGAGGTAAACAGCAAAGATAACGCAAATGAAAACAAAGAAAAGTAAAACTAAACTTGCTGTCGGTGTCAGTGCTTGCATGTTTTTTCCCCCCACAAGAATACCAACATGTTCACCTTTGGTTTAAGAAGAAGTCTTTTACTTTTACTTTACTTTAGCATCCATCGTTTCCTCAATATGCGCATAATTTTTGCTGTGCGCAGCTTCGTGCTCATGCTGACGCGGCAAGTATAAACCAGGCTCTACACTCGAAGCGCTGCGCAGTTCAAATGAGTAGCGCGGTTTCGTTATACTTTCAGTTTCATTTGCCGTTTGATGTTTCACATATGCAACAGAAATGGCAGCTTATGAGGTGAACAACGCGGTGGTCGCGACAGTTTAGTCGCACAGGCAGAAAAAATGGTTGGTCGCAGTCTGGAGCCCTGAGTTTTTCCTTCTTCCGTTTTAAAAAAAATCTCTGTCCACATGAAAACGCAAACGCATGCTATGAAGCACTGTCAAGAGCATACAACCAACAGGTGGCGATATAATCTCAACCGTAAAACCATGTTGGCCAATCAGAAGCCTGAAAAAGTTTCCAGTAGGCGGAGATAACAGCGCAGGTTCTGACGTCACAAGCCAAAAACTCCGGTTTCGCGACCCCTAGAGGACGCAGTGTCTCGTTCCCTACTCAGGGAACCATGGTTACATAAGTAACCTGAGACGTTTTTTCATATCGCGATATTATCACAAATGCAATTAATCGTTCAGCCCTACTCTGGATTATTTTTCTTTATGGTGGTAATTAACCGACTTTTTCATATTGAAAATGCATAATTAGCTGCAGTGTGGTGTTTAAAATGGGTTCACAGTCAATGAAGACCAGGATTAGTAAAGTCAGTGAGACAGTCCGACATCAGAAAAGAAATGTCTCTGCAAGGGGGCATGTTAATGTTTTTGATTAACGATTATGAGAACTAATATTTATTTATTGATTTATTTAAAGATATGCACAGATACATCATTTATAATAAATAATTAAAACCAAGAAACAAAGTCCATTTTGATTTCATGGTGACTTTAAAATCATGATTTTTAGTCCTGGAGAAGCCAATGATAAAGTCTTAAAATATAAAAGAATAGTCATGGAAAAATCTGTAGAGAAAATAAATTTTTCTAGAACATTATACTGGCTAATATGACGATCTTAAATGAAACCTTTGACCTTTTCATAACCTGGAAAAGTCATGGAAATTGATCAAAATGTGTAAAACCCTCTTCTGAGCATCTGTAATATTAAGTTTTGCATCATTTTATACTTTCAGTATCCAGTCTGACACATTGTTTTTCTTTGTTCTATTGTATTCTGTCTCAAAATCCATTATCCACATCTGTTTCAGAGCGTAATGACGTGAATCACAAAGCTCCTCCAGTGAAGAATGGCCACACTGCTCCAGTGCCTGGAGAGCGCAGGTCAGACACAGGGTCAGAGGTCAAGGCACCATCTTCACGGCCACAAGGAGAAGAACAGAGGAACAGCCTCGCACCAGAACCGGAGCGCCGCAACCGCGCTCCCTCCGACGTCAGTCGCAACCGTCAGCCGCTGGACGTGGACGCTCGGACGCGGTTACTGCCTGAAACAGACCGACGCAGCCGACTGGAGTCAGACGTGGAGAGACCAGCAGGATCGTTACCGAGAGAAAGACAAGGACAGGAGGAGGGGCGTTATCGGCGTGAGGAAAGAGACGAGAAAGCGAGTAGGGACAGAGAACGGCGGGATAGAAAAGACGACAGGGAAGGAAGAGGCGAACGCAGAGATGACAGAGACAGACGAGACAGGAGGCCGGATAAAGAAGACTGGCACGGAAAAGGTGAGCGAGATGAGAGGAGGAATGACAAAGAAAAGCGGGAAGAGAAAGACTGGAGAGAAAACAGGGACAGGAAACAGCCACGAGACCGGAAAGAGGATCACGAAAGACGGGATGAGCCAGAGAGAGTAGATGAGCGAGAGCGAGAGCGAAAGGAGCAGAATGAGAGGAGGGAAGACAGGGAAAGAAGAGAGGAACGGGATAGACACGAGGAGAGAGACCGAAAAGACGAGAGAGAAAGGAGAGACGTCAGGAGGCCAGAACCTGTGAAACAGGTGTCTGATGGGAAACACTTCCGGCCTCAGTCAGAACAGGACATGCGGCCCATTCTTCAGAAGAGCTCGTCTGACATTGGACAGAAGGTCCGGCCCGTTTCAGAGGCCGTCCAGAGCAGCACACTGCCACGATACACACCTGCAGAGGAGGAAACAAGGGCACGGACAGGTAAAACTCTCACCCAGCTCACCTCATTCCTGATATTACATTTGTGGGCTCAGAAAATGCATTAAAGGCATCGCTCAAAACTGTGAGGCTTACTAGAAGTTTTAATATTCACATGCGTCTAGGGAAAATTCTGACTTTGTTTCATATCAAAAGTAACAAAGCACAAAGTTTATTGCGATTATTCGCTGGGTGGCGTGTTACAAATAATGTTTAGTGAAGTTTTGTTCACACGTCAGATCTGATATTGATATTAATTAGAAAAACAACAAAATTAGTGCTGTCAAATGATTAATCGCATCCAAAATAAAAGTTTTTGTATATATAAAAGTTATTGTATATATAAATACACACACATGCATGTGTATATATTTCAGAGAAATATTGTATTTTTATATATTAAATGTATTTATTTATAATATAAATTATATGAATATAAATATAGACCTGTAAATACATGTAAATATTTTCAAAATATACACTGTGTGTGTATTTATATATAGGCTACATAATAAATATACACAGAACACACGCATATTACACAAACAAAAACTTTTATTATGGTTGCGATTAATTGCGATTAATCATTTGACAGCACTAAACAAAATGCATTTAGCAATAAAATCAGAATTCAGCACTAGAGGTCACATTTTGGTGAATTTCTGCAGGCGAAATCCAGTCATTTCAGTAGGAATCACGCTATTGGGAATTCAGCGAAAGGCTGAAGGATATCCCCATGCAGATTTTGCATCAGGTTCAGTGGTCGACAGATAATTATTTTTTTGATGGGCAATATAAAGCCATGGATACATGATATCACATTATTCAATTTAATGATAGTAAAAGCACATGCATAACAGTTGCTAAAATTAAATGTATTTATTTTATATAATATTTAATAAATTAGAAATAAGTAATTTGTAAGTGAATGCATATAAAAAAATTATAAAATAATTTGAACTTGATGAAAAATAAATCTGTACAATAAATAGATGGATTGATCGGTTTGCCGATATATTGGTCAACCACTATTCAAGTCGGCCATCGAATTCACCATGTTGACCGCCAGAAAGCTGCTTGATTGAAAGTGGATTCTATGTGAGCTGTGATTCATACATCGATCATTGACAGTGGACCTGTTTTGCCTGTTGAAAAAAACAATAGTTAAGAGAGAGTTGGTTTAATTTTGAAACAGCTACTTTTAATAAAGTGTTTTAATAAACTAGACACTCAAGTTGTTTTTAAAGAGTTTACATGCAAAATTGCAATTATTGTTTATTTTTATCGGCCCAGAAGTTCAATATCGGTGCGTCCTTAGTATTAACTTTTTTTTTTTATATATATATAAATTGTTAAAAATAACCCTGGACCTACAGTATAGGTCTGTTACAAGAACATTTAAACTTATTGGCATCATATTTTCATAACTTTTTTTTTTTATTGCCTGCCACCTCTTATTAGCTCTTTAGCCTGTCTGTCAAATACATGGGATCATAATAGACTTCAGTGTGGTGTCCATCAAATTCTTGTTTTTGCTATCAGGAGACATTTACAGTAGTGTCACGAATACATTTGCTTAAGCTCTTTAAAGCAGCTTATATCAGGTACTTCAGAGATAGCTTCAGAATTTCAAGATTTTGAGTGCTGATCATACAGTTCGTGCAGTTGTATTGCTAGATCTGCAGAACTTCACTATGCACTATTTTGCTCACGGCACAGCGATGGTAAAGACCCCATGAAACAGCTGGATTCCTGTATTGGTTATTGAAGGATATGTCAATCGTGTAGCCCTAAGTATACCTTTTAAAAGTTATTTTTGTCAACATTGGTCATATAGATGCCCTCAAATCACAATACTGCCATTTTGACTTCATGGGGTCTTTAAAGCGCTCCACTGTCACCCTGTTCACATGCCATGCCTGATTTACTCATGCCTGCTGCTGTGATTATGCTGTGCACCTGTGTGTGTTTTGTTATTTGTGTTGATGTATGTTTGTGCATGTGTCTTGTGCTCACTATTAGGATCAGTGGGTGTGCGGTTTGTTCCTGAGCCCAAACCTGCACCAAGTGCCTCCATTAAAGACTCCCAGCTGCCCCCTAAACAGGCCATTCTCCCTCCCAAATGGCTGATGGCTTCTTCCTCCTCCTCCACTGAGACTGCTCCAGTCCCATCCTCCTCCTCTTCATCATCATCTTCATCATCCTCATCCTCTGCTCCCCCCATTGCTAAGCCTCCTCCTCGGACTGTGTCTTTAAATGTAGACAACTCCTCCCGAAGTAATCCCATTCCTCCCGTAACAGCAGGAGACCGTGAAGCTCCGCCCATTGTGTCTGCCCACTCGACTCCTCCCACTGTTCCTGCCCACTCTGCCCCGCCCACTGTTTCTGCCCACTCGACTCCGCCCACTGCTCCCGCCCACTCTACCCAGCCCACCGTTTCTGCCCACTCGACTCCGCCCACAGTTCCTGCCCACTCTGCCCCGCCCACTGTTCCTGGCCACTCCAACCCTCCTGCCCTTACTGCCCCTAAACAGCCGCCAGTGCCCCCTCCCAAACCCGCCCATCACACCAGCAACACTGCACTGCAAGGTGAGTCGGTATTTGTCTTGTCAGCTTTCGCCCCAAAACTGCAACTGTGAAGTATGTGTGGCTTCATGCTGCTTTCTTGAGTAGACTCCACTGTGCAGAATGATAAAAGCACGACCTGTTCAAAATGTCGTAACCTAGCAGTTTTCACACGGCCATGGAAACCTGGATCTATCAGCTGGGGTTTAAAATGGTGAATTAATACAATATTTCTACAGTCATTATGCCAGTTTTTTTATGTTTCTGGTTATGCTTGGCTCTAAAATATTTGACTAGACTTCTAAAAATAATTATGCAGTAGGATTTTTTTTTTAATCCTTTAATTATGAATGACTGGAAAAACTTATGGAAAATCCTTGTTTCAAAGGTGTGTGGGAACTGTATCTCAAGTAACTGGTGCCAGATTCACAAAAAGCTTAAGAAAAAAGTTTCTAATAAGGCCATGTTGTGCAATTCTTGAACAATTCTTAAGTTTTCAAATATTTTCTTAATAATATCGTATTGTTTTCCTAAGAAGCAAATTATTGTTTTGTGATTGTTGCTGAAGACTTGCTGATCAAGTCCATACATCTCAAAGGCCGTCTTTTGCGCTGCCTTCAGATTACCACAATAATCATATTAAGCTTGCACACTATTTACGTTGTGTCATAAATCCCAGGATATGCCAATATTGTCTGCACAAACATATTTTGTGTTACATGTATAATTGAAATTATGGAGACAGATTTGATGTGCTGCTTATGTCTTCTGCATGCTTTTTTTCCAGTGGCTTTAAAAAAGTGGGGACAAATTTGAATTTGACTTTGAGTGAATGTGTAATCCCTAGTTATAGTAATATTTATTATATGTAGCTCGTGTTATGTTGTAATGCTTAATATTTTAAACCACCCAACATATTCTTTAATCATCTTATCTTTAAGGGGTTTAAGACCTGTTGAAGGTTATCCTGACTTTAAGAGGATTTAGTTATTTTTAAGAATATTATTTTTTAGGAATTCAAATTTTGTCTTTAGAGCAATCTTAAGAAAAAAAGGTAAGAACAGTGTTCATTGGAAAACAAATATTCTAAACTTTATTCTTAAGTTAGAAAATAAGAGGAAAATATCAGTTAAGAACATGATTTTTTTCTTAAGAATGATTTGTGACCCCAGTCCTGGGCTGTTCTGTTCAGTACCCAGCCATGCAGCACAGTACTCTAAGCAGCTGAGTCTGGACCGTCACCATATATAGCGTACATGTCCCTGACTGTTGTACATTGTCATTCTGTAGATAGTTTTCCATGCACCTCCTGCCTGTGTGGTCATACTGTGCTTTCATTGTATCGGTAATCGGCTATATCATTTCCTATCCTGCAGTGTATTGTTTTTACTCAATACAGATTCATATTTAATTCATATTTAATCAACAGAGCTTAATTTTACTGGTGATACAACTAGGGGTGCTCCGATCAGGATTTTTGAGGCTGATCACCAAAAGCAGTATCTGCCGATACCGATCACCGATACCGATCTTTTTAAAGCCTCCTTTTTATCATTTATAACTATTTATAGTGATACTCCAATCAGGATTTTTAGACATTTATTCAGGGCCTGAATTTCATTTTT